GGGCATTATCTTGTTGGAAAGTTGGATCTGCCAGGGTGTCAAGATAGGGTAAAAGATGGGGTTCTAGAACTTCGTGGATATAACGCTGCGCGTTCATGTTACCTCTGATGAAGATTAAAGGTGACCTGGAACCATAAGCTATAGCACCTCAAACCATAACTCCAACAGTGTGATGGACATGTCTTTCAACAAAAGACTGGATTCCTCCTTTCACCACGTCGCCTTCTAACCCTGGCACGACCATCGTGCATGCCTGAACAAAATCGAGACTCGTCACTAAAGACAATACGGTTCCATTCCTGATCCCAGAGTGACCGTTGTCTGCACCACTCAAGGCGATTACGTCGGTGTTCTCGAGTTAAAGGGAGGACCCAGTGTGGCCGGTATGAAAACAAGCCAAAACTTCTCATTCGTCGGTAAATACTTCGCATGCCAATAGGTCTTCCGTGTTCTGCAAACCATTCATTTGGACCTGGTAGTGGAGAAACGGTCCCTTAAGGCCAATAATCTTAGGCGGCGATCTTCACGGTCTGTTGTTCTACGGCGGCGTCCAGTGCCCCTTGCTCTTTGCGTACGGCCTTCTCGAAGCCATGCCTGACAACACCTAACCACAGTGTCTACACTTCTTTGCACTCTAACTGCAATTGCCCGAAAAGAAAGTCCAGCTTCTCGAAGTCCCACTATACGGCCCCTATCAAACTCACTAAGTTGACGAAATCGTACAGGTCTCCGTACTCTAGGCATCGTAACCAATCGTAAAGGATGTCAAGAACCGAAATCCGCCAACGTTGATTCTTTACTGCGGCTGAAATATTCATTTTTAGAGCGTTAGTGAATTAAAAAAAGCAGTATAAAAACCGGAATGTCCAACTGATAAGGCTGAAAATTTTTTCACTTGTTATTTACAGTAAGATAAATACATTCACCAACTTTTATTAAAATAAAACCATTTAAACTGGGTGTTCGGATTTATATGTCACTTAGTATAGATACCGGTCAAACTTATAAAAGCGTGTTACTAAAAAAATAACCTAGACTTTTAGAAACGCACCGCAAGTATCTTGAGTCCAGATGCCTTTACAGCTCTAATCACCACATCTTGGTACTTCACAGCCTCAGGCTTGATAATGGCCAAAGTCCTCTGAGGTAAGGCGTCCTCGCATTCCAGCTCCGTGGATACGGCCGAGAGGGTACTTCGAAGGTCACCGATCGAGAGGTCGGCAGCCTCAGGTCTGAAGGCATCCAGGAGGTGTTGGTACGCGAGGTCGCCCTCGTACTCGGTGCGAGCTGGTGTGATGGTTGTCGCAGGCGATAGGTAGTGCACTGTGTCCACATTGTCGCGAGCACTGGTCTACATTTCCAAGAAGAAATAAATCAGAGAATCGGTGTTGTGGTAACACAAGATAAATGTTTCCCGATGATGAAGACACTCTTTATACACTCCTGCCCTGGTTAATAAAGGCTACTATTGTTGTACTGTGAATAAACAGGGTGATTCAGAAAATGGTCGGAATAATCCTGGGTTAGAGAAGAGGTCCATTTGTACCATGACAAGTCATCCTGATGACATTCGCAGAGCGACGAATCTTGTTCATGAAGTAAGAAATGCTCTCCAGGAATTCCACAATGAGTAATGGAACGACTTTCTGGCGGGGATGCTTGACTCAAGTACTCCTTTCAGAAACGAAAAGCGAGAACAACTCCCGCACATCCACGGTCATGGGGGCATAGTCTCCAGGACAGAGGACAGAGGTTTTCGCTGATGCTATGGAACGACAGTTCTCTCCCAACTATGATCTTGATAATGATCTCGACGAGGAGCAACAAATTGTAAGATCCGTCAGGAGATATTTTAGGGCCAACAGCGTCAGTGATCCTGGCGCCGCCATTAGTGATTCTTCCTCAGAAGATTCTTTTTCGGAAGATTCTTCAGCTCAAGAGTTGCACAGCATATCATCGGCTTCCCCGAGATCCCGCATTGCACACCAGCAGAGCTTCAAGGTCATCGATATTTCCCCAGGACTATCGTCCCATCAGCCTAGTGTCTGCTCCATCTAAGCTCGCTGAAAAGGTATTTCTACGTCACCTTGCGAATTTTTCGTCAGATCATGTGATTCCTGTCGTGCAATTTGGATTTCGATCTGATCATAGTACGGAGTTACAGGCGGTTAGGCTTGTGGAGCGAGTAACCAGGGGCTTCACCCTTAACGAAAGTACTGGCATCTCGCTTCTGGATGTCTCGAAGGCATTTGGCGAGGTGTGGCACACGGGCCTTCTCTATAAACTAATTCAAAAGGGCTTTCCATTTTGGCTCCTAAAACATTTGAAATCCTTCCTTGAAAGTAGTTAATTTTGGATCAAAATTAATAATTTCTTGTCGACGCATGATGTCCCTTGCCCTAGCGACTGTGAAGTCTATCTATATGCTGATGACACTGCACTGGTGGCCCAGACGCGTACCGGGAATCTGGTTCACGACAGGTTACAAAGTGCGGTGGATGATGTATTGGAATGGGCAGATCGGTGGCTAATCAAAATTAATTACTTGAAATCTATTGTACTAAAAAACGTAGCGGCGCCCCGCCTTCAGTAAATGGAGCTCGCATACCATGGGAAAATTCTGCTGAGTATCTCGGTGTCACTCTTGACAGGGGATGACCTGGCAGAATCACACTGAAGCGTTAAAAACTAAATTCCAAATTACGTTTCGGCAACTGTACCCTTTACTTTGTAGAACCTCAAAATTAAGCTTGGTTAAAAAAGTATGGCTATACAAGACGGTTATCAGACCAGCAATCACTTACCCATGTGCAGCATATGCGTAATCGACAGGTTTTGCAGAACAGAATCTTCCGAACCATCACTAACGTACCATGGTATGTCTCCAACGTGACCCTTCACACTCTGTCTCTACCTCGACATCCCTTACCTAAGGGACTAAATCAAACATCAAGTGCAGTTATGTTATAGTCAAGCGGAATCGCACAGCAACCCTCTGTTGCGTGAGTCAGTAAACTACACAGTCGAGCAAGTTCGCAAGCATACAAGACCGCGGCTCGCACTGTGATCAAAATCAAATCGTGCAATTCTAGATCCAACCAGAATTACGATTTTTGCCACACACAAATTCCTAAATTAATTTTTGGATTAATTTTAAACAACCCTCTTTGCTCTTTCACCTTCCTTCCTTTCTTTCTTCTTCCTTTCTTTCTCCCTGACTTCGTCTGGTATCTGGGCAACCAGACCTGATAGACCTACTTTAACAAAGAGCGAAGGTCCCACGGACCGCTCTGACGGACAATGACGAATAGACCACGAAAAGTACTTACTACTACTCGTCGTTGCCTGTCAAGGCAGTCCGGAGGACCTTAGCCTTTAGGTCACTGTAATGTCAGTGTCTGTCGTTAGTCTGACAGGTCTGGTGGCCCAGAGAACAGTCAAGTTGTAGGGGAAAGCGGAGAGGGAGAAAGAAAGGAAGTAGGAGCGAGAAAAGAAATGTAAATATATGTAAATATATGAGCCGAGATGGACCTAGGGACTGTTACATTGTGCTATATAAATGTTGACTAAATTTCGTATGTTTTGTTTTTAAAACTATATCATGAATTTAATTTTGTTTACAGTGCGAGTTGCGGCCTGGAATATTTGCGTATCTCCTCGACCGTGTAACCTAATGTTTCACACAACAAAATGTTGCTGTGCGATTCCGCTTGCTGGTTGCGCCGTTTGCCATACCTATGATGTAATTCCTAAGGTAAGGGATGGTTTGATACACACCATGTGGTATGCATAGGTTATTGCAGGTCTAATGATCGTTTTGTATATCCGAATATTGGCCAAACTCAATTTTGAGGTTCTCCATAAACAAGAATACAGTTGCCGACATATAATTTGGAATTTAGTTTTCAGTTGTTCAATGTGTGGCTGCCAAGCCATACTTTTGTCTTGTGAGATCTAAATATTTGGACGTGTTAGCTCATGGTATCGAAACGTCATTCACAGTAATCTCTGACAGGGCAACACTACGCTTTTTTGTAAAATAGCTAGCCTCCGTCTTAGGAAAATTAATTTTGATTAGCTACCGATTTTAAAACCTCGTCCACCACTTCCTGCAGCCTGTCATGGACTATGTGACTAGAACACAAATGGGCTACTAATACGTCTGCACTGAGATGAGGGACTCTGTGAATGAAAATCGAGTACATGAGTGGTCCTAAGATCGATCCCTGAGGAACTCCGGCCCGAATGCGCAGTGTTGTAGAAAAGACATGATTCTGAATCTCCCGTCTAGAAAGGATTTGAGTAGTTAAAACAGCCAAAAATGGAAACCATTTTGAATAAGTTTATGAAGGAGGCCTATGTGCCACACCTTTTCATTAAAAAAAAAAAAAAAAGGATTTTCGAGCTCTTGTCAATGGTGAATCCGCTGATTATATGCTCCACCAACTGGACTGCATGTAGCTCTGTACCATGCTCGGATCAAAAATCGAATTGAACGTCAGAACAGTTCTCATGAACATGAGGTCCAAAATACTCCCTTACCTAGATTCAGGGTGTTGAAGTTTTGATTTCGGAGTTTGCTAAGATATTAAGGCTGATCGTCCATTGGAAGCGTAGTCGCGCGACTCGAAGGTAGCGCGTATACGCCCGTATACAAGCGACTGATCCTAACAAATGACAAATTATGTAAACAACATCCACTGTAAGCGACCTTGAGCGACCGACCTCGGCCGACCACAAGCGACTGGCGACCGATCCCTCCAAAATGGGATTAGTCGCTTGTGATCGCATGTGCAAACGAAGACCATAGGGTTATCTCTGACGAAGACGCCATAAAATTATTCATTGCGTTTGGGTTCGTGTGTTCCGTGCAGGCAATATTTAGTTTTCGATATGGAAATTGATAACGAAAAATTGATTAGTGTCGTTCGTGAAAAGCCTCCGTTGTGGAACATGAAAGACAAAAGGTATCATTCTCGTGATGTTCAGAGGAAATTGTGGTCGAAAGTTGCAGACGAAGTAGGTATTACTAATAATGGATGTTTTCAATATCATTATTATATTACAAAGTGAACAAAACATAAGAGATATTCAGGCAAAAACAGACCGTCAGTGCAAAGCTTTTACTTCAGACACAAGTTTTTTTAGGTATTTGCTTGATGTTCAAAAAAATATTCTGCGAATTTGTCTCTGATCACATAAGCGGTAGTGACGCTCCTATTTTCGCCTAGGGAAGCAAAGCTGGCTCTTGTAGTACTGGTTTCTGATTGTTGAGGTATTGACATAGGTTGTGGTTCGCCTTCTTTGTCAATTATAATATTGTGCAACAAACATACACATTTAACGATATCATCGACAAAGTTTGGTTCAACCTCAATTCCTTTTTGAAGTACTCTCCACTTGGCGGAAATAATACCAAACGCGCATTCAATGACTTGCCGTGCTTGCGAAAGTCGTTTATTGAAAATTGTATGTGAAGGTCCAAGTTGTGATGAGGGAAAAGGTCGCATCAAGTAAGTTTTCAATGGATAGGCTTCATCTCCCAACAGCACGCACGGAACTTTAATATTCGATCCAGGCAGTGTGGTAAGCCGTTTATTACCCAACTCATTGTTTTCAAGCCTTCTATGAAGGCGGGAATTTGAAAACACACCACCGTCACTTTCCTTGCCGTACCCTCCTGTATCAATGGTAATATACTTGTAATCTGGTCCCGCCACACTTTGTAGCACAGTTGAAAAGAAATGCTTGTAATTTCTGAACATGCTGTCTGAATGGTCTGGATTTCGTATGCGTATAAGTTTTCCATCGATGCACCCAACACAACTAGGAAATTTCCATTTACGCCAAAAACCTTCTTTTATTGACTCCTGCTGTTCAGCTGTAGGAGGAAATGGCATATGTAGAGTGCTCAACTGGTCCCAAATAGCAATACACGTTTCTTTAACTATTCTTCCAACGGTTACATCTGACATTCTAAATGAATACCCCAATGTTTTGAATGAAGCACCTGTGGCCAAGTACCTGTAACAACAGAAATCATTATGAACATTTATTGAAAAAAAATTGTTTATGTTCCTATTTGCAATATTAACCAAAACTGTGATTTTGTGTTTTAGTGAACGAAGTAAAGTAAAAGTGGAAAGGACTGCGCGATGTATTTAGAAGAGAATATAAAAAAGTCCATAAATCAGGAGATGAGGCGCCGGAGGAAGGTTCCTCTTCATGGACTTTCTTCGACCAGATGCTGTTTCTCTCCGACATAATTGAGCCACGACAGCTGAAGGGAAATGTTGCCTCGTCAGAAAGAACATTTTCTCGAAATAATGACGGAGACTATATTGCCGATGAAGATGATTTGCCTGATATGGAATCACCACAAGCAGTTGTCACTGACAAAGGAGAACTCAATATGTCATCGAGCGAAACCAGTAAGATGGAACCCCCAGTACCTTCAAGCAATCATCAGACGCGAAGAAAACAGCATGATACACAACCAGGTAATGCTGACGTTCGTCCTGCTGGTCCTCCAATAACACCTAGAACTAGCAATCCTAAACGTAAAAAAAATACACCAGCAGACATCAAGGTTGACGATAAATTTCTAGAAATCGAGAGGGCTAAGTTGCAGTTATTTACTGAACATGCTAAAAAAGAAGGAGACAGCGACTATCAGTTTTTGGTTAGTCTTCTTCCATATCTAAAAAAAGTTCCAGAACACCGCAAATTGCATGCAAGAAATACACTTCAGCAAGTTCTTATTGATGAAGGAGAGCAATACCACAGATCCCCGCATACCCCATCGACCTACACAACAACACCGGTACCCTCGCCTTGCACCAGCGAAACCGGTGGACCCTCTTGGACGATTCAAACGTCGAACTCATCTGCAGACCAGATTAATACAGGTTTGCGACAATATTTCGGGAACTTTCAAGATATCCAGTAACTGTGTTATAATAAGAAGGCTAATACCGATCAGGCGCAATAAGAATTACAACACGAATGCATATTGTCCGACTATTGAGTACTTTTTTTATTTCCTTTTTATGATAGATGGTTTTGTTACTTTTTTTTGTTCAATTAAACTTAATATAGATTTATAACAATTGAATAAATTTACTTACCTTAAAGTCACACTTAAACGTTCCACAGGTCTTATTGTCTCCCTGAAATTTGAATCTTTGGCGATCGATGACTCTATAGCACTCAAAATGTACTGAAATGTGTCTAGACTCATCCGGTAATAATCAAAGAATTTCTGCGGATCATTCAGTAAATCGTCATGTAGGTGATGGAATTCTCCCAGTAAATTTCTTCTACTAAGTATTTCATTTATCCAACACAAACGTCTCTTCTTATCACGACGAGCTCTCAAACGCCTTATTATGTAAGGTTGCTCCAAAAAGTACATGTTTTGCAAATCCATTTCACATGATTTTACAGAGCACACTTTCTTTCGATGATGACAGTTGCGAACTAAGTCGTATAGAGTCGCCTGCAGTGAATGATGCCAGTCGCTCAGTCTCATGATCGCTCATACACGGGCGTATACGCGCTACCTTCGAGTTGCGCGACTACGCTTCCAATGGACGATTAGCCTAAGCTGAAAGTACTCAGTCTGCCCCTGTTGGAGAAGAATTGGTTTGAACATTTGATGTAAAATCCGTGTAAAAAGCTTCAACTTCTCCATTGAAAATACGCTGAAGTTAATGAAGTTTTCTTCTATTTCACCACAGTGTTATTTGAAAAATATTCATGTTTTGTTCTTATTCAGTTTCATCAGTGGCGTAGATATGAGTAACGCCCTGTCTCTTGGTATGGAGCATTTTAGGACTTTTTAGAAATTTGTAGATATACCGTCTACTTTATAAACGTTGCACTACGTTTTTCTTAATCACACTGTATAAAGATATTCAGAGTCATCAACATTCCACCACTATGGCTTCGGAATCCTACGAAGATTTCTGCACTATTTTTATTATAGTGTTCTGGGTTTCCTTTATTACAGAATAAAAAAAAAGCAGACATGAAGAGGTGTAAACAATGTAAATTCTAATAACTACAAAATTTACAAGATACAAAAGCTCTAATATGCAGATATGATTATTACCTTTGACGATTTCGTCGACCCAGCGCTGAAGGTCAAGTAACTAGGGCTTTTGATTGAAGAGGTGCTCAAAAACCCAATTCGATCCACTTTTGTAGGATGTTCGTAATCCATTTTAAAATGACGTATAAAGTTGTTAAAACTTAGATATAATTCAATAATTTAAAATGCAAGAATACCATTAATCAGACAGCTGTACTGACAAGTGTCAGGTTTGGCATATTTGCAAAAAGATCAAGTGCTGCCATTTGATGTTAAGTAGCATACACACAAACATATTACGCACTACATGGTTAGTAAGCTACGATGGCTGAACATTGAAGCCCATATATTTTCTTCTGAGAGCAATTAAAGAGCGGGGAGGAGGATACATCTAGAGGGGGGGCACACGTCGCAAGGTAACCATGAACCATGAACAAAATGCGAGACTTGGGCGTGTGGGAAGGGGCTCGCCCCCTCTAAATTCGCTATTGATTTTCTAATACTTCAGGGCCAACGACAATACTGTTCACAATCACAATATATTAAACAATTGAGGAAAAATAATATAATTCTGAATAGCGCAGTAATTTCACGGTAACGTCAACCTGATAGTCAAAAACTGAAGCATACCGAACACGATTATTTGTGTCGGTATTGTACTCTACATGGACTGGGAACTATGCCTTCATACGCAATACATTCCGCTAACCAGTTGTCTTTGCGCAGAAAGCCTCCATATTCCATTTTTTGGCTTACACTAAACAAAAACACAAGTGTACTTGAATTCGATAAACTGCTAAGTTTGCTAACGTCATATCTAAAAGACAGACACCAACAGGTGGTTCTGGACACAAGTATTTCAAATTCACAGGGAGTTCCTCCAGGGGTACCACAAGGTTCATTTCTAGGACCCATCTTGTTCTTAATGGATACATTCGATCTGGCCGTCAAAATTAAAAACTCTAGTGTAACTTGTTATGTCGATGACACTTAATTTTTGTGAAGCTTCCCCCCCTGATGATTTTAAAATGGCTGAGGCTAAAATTAATATTGATCTCGAAAGTGTTGATAACACTGATCAACAGCCAAAAACTATCCTAAATAAAATCAACAAAATATTACTATTTTTAATGTGCTAAAACCGGAATGAAACTTATTCTTTCAATATTAGTTCAAGTTTTAGAGATACGGTAATTATACAGGGTGACTTCGAAGTTGAGTCATTTATTTTAACAGTGAGTAGATCTGATCAAAAGAAATGTTTTTTTCCTTTACCATTTTTCTGGTAAAATTAAAGTAACAAAGTTATAGCCCTTTGGAAGTTTGAGTACCGCCCTGTCTCAATAATAATATTATGTGCTCGTGTTTGGCGACAACGGATATAATCCGCCTTATCGGTTCATCGCCTCGGAAACAAAAAAGCGAAAGAATTTGAAACGATGTTTTTACAATTATTTCATTCAGTTGTATACAGTCAGTGTCAGTCGGTAGTGAATAGTGGTGTCTGTTGCGTGGCTCAAACGAAATAAAAAATGGCACATGTTTATGCGGATCGGTTTCCCAATCGAGTGCAACCAACCCCTCGTGCCTTTGTTAATGTAGTACAACGGGTTCGTGAATCATTTGACTTAAGACCTCACATATGGACGAAATGCCGGTGCTCCAAGACCTCACGATCAAATACAGGTCTGCACTGAAATACTTGTCGGGAGGATACTTTATAAAACAAGGTAACATTTTTTTTTATTTTTTTTTATTTTTACACACATATTTTGGTTTATCTTCCTTCTACAATCATTATCTGAAAATTAATGATTCAACTTCACTGTATGTGTTCCTGCTGTGACAGTGTTAATATACTGTAATTCACAAGAATGCACATGCTACATTTTTATATTCGGCAAGGAAAGATGATGTAATCGGCATGATTGTGTTACGTTATACATACGTGTACATTATATTGTTTTATATTAGCCATTTTTTCCTCAGTTGGCTGACAGCGTTCATGCAAGATGTCTCGAAAGTCTGTAAACAATCCAGATCAGTTTTGTTACGTGTGTGGTGATGTGACTTTTGCGTCTCAGAGACGGTCTATTACTCCACTAATAACAAAGGCATATCAGCTTTATTTCGGTTGTAAACTAGGTGATCAAGACAAACAGTGGGCACCCCACATCTGCTGTAATACATGTGCTTCAAGTCTGAGGAGCTGGTTAAATGGCAAAAAACGGTCTATGCGCTTTGCTGTCCCAATGGTTTGGAGAGAGCCTACAAATCATATTAATGATTGTTACTTTTGCATGGTACCTTGTGTTGGACAAGCCACAGGTATGTCCAAGAAAAAAAAATCGGTTATTAACTACCCAAACATACCATCTGCGATGAGACCTGTGCCTCACAGTGACGAAAATCCTATTCCAAAACCCCCAGAATCCTACACTTGCGAATCAGAAAACGAATCAGATCATGGCGATAGAGTGATTCGTCAGGAAGAAGATATGCCATCAACGTCAAGAGATCCTGATTTTATACCGAGCACGTCATGTCACCAACCGCACAAAATAACACAGTCAGAATTAAATGATCTTGTAAGATATTTAGAACTTCCAAAATGTAAGGCAGAGTTACTTGGATCAAGACTGCAGCAGTGGAACTTGTTAGAAGACGATGTTTCGCTATGTGTTTTTCGTAAACGCCACAAAGACTTAGAACCATTTTTCAATATGGAGAATAACTTGGTTTTCTGCAGTAACATTAACGGCTTACTGGTGGCTTTAAATATAAACTGTAACCCAGAAGAATGGAGATTGTTTATAGACAGTTCAACATTGAGATTAAAGGCAGTGTTATTGCATATTGGAAATATTTTACCATCTCTTCCTGTAGGGTATGCAGTTCACATGAAAGAATCATATGACAATATGAAGTACCTATTGACATGCATAAAATACGATGAGCACCAATGGCATATTTGTGGCGATTTGAAAGTTGTTGCACTTTTACTTGGGCTGCAGCTAGACTACACAAAGTTTTGCTGTTTTTTGTGTGAATGCAAAGCGGGCAAAGGCACAAAACTGGCCTGTTCACAATTGCGGAGCCGTAAGTGATGAGCACGACGAACGTTTTCATCAGGATATTTCAACAATGGAAAAAAGGTACCAGGGAAAGTGGAATCCTTCCATGCTTGCAGACTACTGTTGGACTCTTGGTAGAGATGCTCCAGAAACGATCCATAAAAGAACAGCAAAAAGACAGCGCATATAGTGATTCTTATAAGTATATGAATCTTGTTACTTTTTTTAATATAACCTTAAAAATAAAAAGTTTTTTTTCTAAACCGCAATTTTTTTATTTCATTGTCATTTTTGGATTCAGCGCCCCAAAATTAACAAAGAGGTGCACTTTTCCCACAAGATACAATTAAAAAACCAAAATTTGTTGTCCAGTGTAACTATTCTGCTATTAATAACAATAACTAAGCGGAGACATCTACGAGTAAGCCTGGACCTAAAAATACACAGTACCTTTAGAATTCAATGGTATGTGCAAAAATTTGGGCCTACTCATCGACAGTTTCACACGCATGTGAACAGCGTCATCAAAACATGCTATCTCAGGCTGAAACTGTTATATACCAGCGGGCACTTCCTCAGTTTTAAAAGAAAAAAGCGATTATGTAAATAAAATTAATTAGTATATCCAAAATTTTATATCAGAACGTATTATCCATGCTTGGATTAAATGTTCGCCTACAGAATACATAAAATTCAAAACTGTTGTTGCCGGTTAAAAATGTAATTAGAAAATAACATCATGTAACTGACCCTATCTCAGATTTAGGATGGCTCGAAATGTATAACCTGTTCAGATATTTGTTTTTGTCTTTTGTAAAATTTATTATAACTGCTCATTCACCACTACGTTTATGGAACAAGCGAACATATAATGTTTATTGTTAATAAAAGATCCAAAAACCCTGATATTCTTTACGTCAACAAGGGTATTCCCCAGAGATCGATCTCCGCTCCGACACTATTCCTCTTACATATTATATTAACGACCTCCTTTCCTGTACAGTCAATCCAATCGACAGCTTTGCTGAAGACAGCACTCTACATGCAGGAATTCAGAGCGACAAGTCGATTTCTGGCGGCGAGCTGGAAAAAAGAAGACTGACGAGAACCTGGAAGCTATCAGTGCTTGGAGACGCAACATTCTTGTATAGTTTAAAGCTTAAAAAACACCGTACTGTATCCTGAGGAACAAAAAACGTCCTAGCGCTTATCCGGTTTCGATGGATGGCCGAGTTCTCCCAAAGAGTTCGGCTGGTCGGAGTCCAGTTCACGAAGTACTTTACACATGACCTCCTCATTCTATACAAGGAACAACCAAGACCTAGTCTCGAGTATTGCTGACACGTTTGGGGTGCTGCCGCCTCCACTACATTATTCATCCTCGAAGCTGTCCAGAGGAGGGCTGTCCGACTTGATGACTCTTCTCTAACAGACAGTCTGGGGACGTTTCGAACAGGCGGGCCTTTGGCGATCCACCTCTCTTCTACCGCTACACCCACGGGTTTACTCCTCAGAACTCTCCTTCATGATGCGGCCGCGCGATATGCCTGCCAGACAAACCCGCCTGACTTCGGAGGAGGCCTTTCCCAGTTCTACTTACAGTAGGCGGTTCAAAAATCGGATTAACAAAGTTTCTTTGGGATCCTCATAGCAGCTGCGGTGTGGTAGCTTCTGCCTGCGCGGCTGCTTCGGTGCAAAAAAAAACTGTAGAAAATGTTTCAATCACAAATGTGATCTTCCTATTCTTATGAATGAAACGTTTACTACAGTAAAGATCTGTGCAGGTGGTTTTATTGGCCAAAAAAATATGGAGGATTATCGACATGGGAAGTAAAATGCTGCAAAAACTGTTCTGTTGGACGGAACCATCAGTACTTTATTGATATAAATACTTATCTACTAATAACTAATATGTATAAGCTTCGAACACATCGTACACATCGAATGTCACTAGAGCGTATACAGTCAGCTGATCACTATTTTTTGTTGGAACCTTTCCGACTATTACACGGGGTAGGTATTGGATTGGTTATGATGCCGCTGTCCATGAACACTTTGGCGACGCTTTCGTTCAGTATGTGAGGCTGGATGTGGAGATCGGTCTGCACGCTTGCATCTACGAAGGCTGGCTTGGACTGCAGGGCTCTTCGGTGCATTACTTCGCTGCAGATGTACCCCACACCGTCGTCATCCTGGAATTGGAAACGAAAATTTAAGATTCGTTTTAGTGGATGAATGAGTTTTGCACTCATTAATATTGCACTGATATACAATGCTTTTCAAAAAATTCCTCCCTATTAGTGGAAGCTCTGGACCATACATGGACGTCGGCGACATCAACCTGGCAAGACTCCTTCTATTCCACAATAAAAAAAACCTAAATTGTTATACCCTAATATACAGGGTGCGGCAGAGAGGATGGACGGTTTTAAAAAAATCATAAAATAGTTAATTTTTCCTCGAAAACAAATTTATTGAGGGAATCAGGTTCACAAGCAATAGCATTTGAGACAGTCAAGTGTGGAAAATCACATAAGGCATGTGGTGGCCGAAATCGTTGATGCAGTGCTGGAGGCGTTCTTGGAAGTTCGCGTAGACTCTCTCCAACATCGCTCTCTCAACTTGGGTGACTTCCACGCGAATTTCGCCCTTCAATTCGTCCAATTCGTCCTGTTCGCGTATACTCTAGCCTTGAGGTGTCCCCATAAGAAAAAATCGCATATGGATATCGATCAGTGCTTCCATCTCACGTGCGAAGTTCATTCGTTGCGCATAATCTCCGGGCTGTAACTGTTGCACAATGGCCAATTTGTAGGGGTGAAAGCGGAGATCCATATGCAAAATTCGCCTTACCGAACGATCACTAAGGCGAAGTGCAGCAGCATGTTTCCGGGCAGATCGAGTCGGACTGCGAAGAAGGACCTGTCGAACGCGTCCAACATTTGCAGGAGTTCGAACTGTTCGCGGCGCTCCTCTTGGTCTTCTGTTGATCAGTTCACCATGCCTGCGAAGTGATTCAACCCAACGAAGGATGGTGTTTCGAGAGGGAACAGCTCTATTCCGATGAATGTTGAAGTGGCGACGAAACTCACGCTGTACGACGATGACTGACTCATTATTTCGGACGAAACAATCATAGGCGAAAACGCGGTGCTCCACCGTCCAAGGCTCCATAACGACAACTGGTAAAATAATGCTGGGATCTCTCGAGTCAAACGGCACCCTCCCCACCTCTTTCGTAGACGGTGGCGGAGAGTACTACCCATCCCAAAAACGTCCGTCCTCTCTGCCGCACCCTGTATTACTGTCTCAGTTTTATTGCTAATCAAATGATGACCAAAATAAAAAAAAATAAACGAACATTTCGGTTTCCAGCCTTACTTATAGATTATTTCATAACTAATACCAATCGCCATTTACCCCTCAATTGATAGAATTGATAGAAATAATCTGAGACCACTTTTTTTGTGCAGGTAAATTTGTTACGATGATTTACGATGTTGACCTTACCACCAATGAAAAATCAACCGCTGCTCTCAAAATATCTTGACCAATAGCAGCAGATTTGATCTGCAGCCTAGGCTTCCTGGGCAGCTCCAGTACTCTGAGAGCGTCTTCCCTTATATCCTGGAAGGGGGTGTAACACAGCATGGAATAGAATTGGGTGTTTAGATCTTGGGGCCTGGTTGCTATCAGGGTTTGCATTTTCTTATCTGAGGTAACCGTAGCGTAGTCAGTGACAGTATCCAAGACATGCGGAGACACTCGTATGACAGTTTGGACACTCTGGTCGACCTTTTGTTCTCGAGACATACCGACTGTAAAAAAAGTAGTCCAGAATCAAATGCAACACGAGATGTACACCGTACATGGTGTGGAAAAGGTACGTATCTTTAAAAGTCACATATGTTCATTTTTGGCATTTCATAGGTTGTGACATAACGTAAGCTTTTTTGCAAGATGTTGTACACTAGTGAACTCCTTTTGTAGCTGTACGTGTTGTTAAACGTCAGCGAACTGCGATCATATCGAGCAAACGTGGAATGAACTATCTGCACACTAAAAACTACCTAGTCTGCAAGATGACATTTCGTCGGATTTTGTTTGACTTTTTTTAGGTTTTTTACATAATACCCTTGCCGAAGGCTCGATGACTCTTTGGAAATAGATTTTAGGGAGAAATGGATTAAGGGAGAGTTGTAGGATTCTCCCTCGACTATCGGTCGGTGACCTTGGTTCCTTGGTTTTGACTTTGAAGGTTATTTGGAGACCACCTTTAAAATCTGTAAATGTAAATCCCTCCTTTTGATTCCGGTAATAAAGCGGAAAACATTACCTGCAAGACCTTGAATGATGCTCATATTTGACCTTGAGTGATCCCTCAAGGTCAAACTAGTGCTGGATATTGATAACTCTTCGGGGATGCATCTTAGTGGGAAATGTTTCAGATAGCTGGAGGAGTGTACAAACATTATAGCTATGAACTGTCTTTTTTTATTTTTTTCTATTTGATGTATTTGTGTTACGTGTCCGTACACTATATTTACTGCATGAGCTTATAGTACTGTGTACTCTGCTCATCTCAATTATCATAATAATAATAATAATAATAATAATAAAAGTTGTAGGATAATTTTGAAGGTCATTGGACGGTCAACATCAAAACTTAAAATATAAACCCCGTTAAACGTGCGAAAAGTTTTACGTTCAAGTATGACCTTGAATGATCCTCATATTTGACTTTGTGGTACAACGTACCTAAACACCTGAAGCGTTGATGGAATTGGTATGAATGAATTCTTATCTTTTGGATATCTCAAGATTGAGGAAGTTGTAAAACGTATAACTTGTATAAAGCCCTAAAAATTACCTGTATAAAATAGTCAGTGATTCTATTTTTACCATCTTTTCCTAGCACACCTTTTGCTTCCTATAAAAATTACCATACTTAAAGCATCCTTCACCAATTTTTATATTCATTAAAAGCACCATCAAAACGAACAGCTATCAAGAAATCTATGTGGTCGCAATACAGGTTCAAATCGAGGGTTTTATCAAGATATGACAGGCGATCAAGATAATCAGTGTCAATGCATGTCTTAATCAAAATTGAAAGAAGTAGCAATTCGAAATTTCCACAAAAATGATGCAGGACGAGGAAAGTGATAAAAACACTAATAAAGGTCAAATAGAAAGCGCACAAGATGAAATAGAGCATAACGATGAATTAGAAGCTGTTGAAATCGAAGATAATAGCAATGACAACAAGCTTCAGGACGAAATTGAGGTACTGATGTAGCTCCTGTAACTTTTTCTCTAGTTTTCATGTTGATAATATTATAAAGAATTAAGGAATTATGCTGAAAATACAATTCAACGTGAACAAAAAGCATTCAAAGAATTTTCACTCAAATAAAGAGACTGTCAATTAACGGGATAACGTCTTCGCCACCTGTACGCTATTTACCAAGTGAATACCATCATTTACGGTATGTATTTTGAACTGTTATCTTAGCTTATAAAACGCCATTTTTCTTGCAAAAATAACGTTCTTTATAGTTTCACATCCATTTTCCTTAAAAAACACCATTTCTACTGATTTCTTTGATTTTTCCCGAAAAAAAATGAAATTTCAGTCTTTATGTGCTAAACTGTAGTTTTACCATTATAAGAAATAGTGAAAATTTCATTCCATAAAATCTAAGCAAATCGAATGAAATCCATGAATATTTTTCAAATTTACCAGTAGTAAACATCAGCCAAAGTTATTCAAAAAATACCACAATATCCACCATAGTAATTAAGAAATGTTTGAATTTAAACCAGTGAATCCCTCAGCTATATCTAAGTGCAATAATTCGAAAACGTTACCTATACCCAAAATATCAAATGCAAAGCAAATATCAGACTTAAGACAACAAGTATTTTACCTATAATGTCCCAAATCCTAGAGAAAATGATGGAGCAACAAATTTCTCAATATGTCGAAAACACATGCATTATACCATCCAATCTGGTTTCCAAAATTCTTATCATAAAACAGCTTTCGCGTGTATTGTCGATGAGTTTTTCAGTTCCTTAGATTGCGGCAAAGTTGTTTGTTCAATACTACTAGATTATAGTAAAGCTTTTGAACAATTGACCACGGAGTACTATGGACTTAGCTCTACTGCTACTCATCTGATGAAAATCCTTCTTACTAAGAGATATCAATATGTATCTAATAATAATGAATTATAACAAATCGATCCTAAGCATGGATATGCCGCTTCCCATTCTAAGTCCTCTTTTATTTTCTATATATAATTCGGACTTTTCAAATCATATAAAACACAGCAGAGTTCATCACTATGCAGATGATAACACAACATACAGTGTTCTGTTAAGTGACCCACCATAGCCCTTATAACCTTCCTATTAAATCCAAGTAGGACCTCTGTAAATGCAGGTTTTCGCTCTTGAATAAACTCTTTTGCCTGTCTTTGATGTGACTGACTGTTCCACCATTCTTGGGACGTTTTCTTAGTCCAATTTCTTATGGATTGGGTGATGCGCCTTAACGCCACGCCACAGAAAGGCTCTGGACCTATAAGATGATTGGCAGTGCAGTACAGCGTGTTTAGTCACATACCCTTTCAAATTCAAGATGTAGTTAAGTACAGTAAGAATAAGAATACCTTTTTAAGTGATATTGTTTTACTTGATTTGCGTCTGACGTACAGAATAGCAACTTCTGTTGATCTAAGGTAATGGAACAAGCCCTCACCAAAACTGGTAAAGGAGACCTGAAAAAGCTGAAGACTGCTATCAAGCTACCGAATGAGTTTGAACTCTCCGGGCCCAGTTGTAATACAGATGTTACAGGAGATGATGTTAGTAAAGTGGAAAAACAGGAAATTTCATGTGAATGTGAACAGCCCACAGGCACTGGAGGAGCGGTGCCAGTAGTTTTATCTCTCGACTTGGAATGCCCAGGGCAACAAAGCTTAAAAGGTACTCTAACATACCCCATTAAATAAAATTCTTTCACCATTTATACTAGTAACCTAAGGAGCCACAAGAACGTTAACGGGCAGACCGACAGATAGGCTAAAGTTTCTTGCACACTTGTCAATTCAGTGACAATAGAAAAGATTTATTATTTTGAATTTGATTTTTGAGGTGAAGTTGTGAACGAATGACGTACTATACTCGTGATATCGAAAAAATTCTCCGGAATTATTGCATATAGTCGAAATCACGAAAGATGACGATTACACCATCATTTTGGTCTGTAGTAAAGAGAAACAACAGCGATTTGTGAATATATTTGATGAAGTTTCTGATATGTTAGACAGAGACAAACAGATTTTTGTTGTCTTAGGCCCGTATCGCAGTCGTCCCTACAATTGTAGGGCGCCTTTATGGCGTCCTTGATTGTGATAGTTTTCTACTTCCCCGTGTCAGCGCTCTATTTTGAGGTTATGTCACAAAGATCAATTTGCATCAAAGTGTGCTTGGTTTTGAGTTATATCATGTTTTATCAGCCTGAAATTTCGATACGGGCCTAAGTCCCGTATCGTCAGTCGTCCCTACTATTGTAGGGGGCGTTTATGGCCTCCTTGATTGTCATACTCCTTTCTCTCCTTCAAAAATATCTAGATTACACTTGACCCGTGTCAGCGTCAGCGCTCTCCTATTTTGAAGTTATGTTTTCTTTTTAAATTGTAGGAAATTTCAGGCTGACAAAACATGATATAACTCAAAAGCAAGCACAATTTGATGCAAATAGATGTTTGTGACATAACCTCAAAATAGAGCGCTGACACGGAGAAGTAGAAAACTATGACAATCAAGGAGGCCATAAAGGCGCCCTACAATTGTAGGGACGACTGACGATACGGGCCTAAACAAACTGTATTGCTAATTTGCATATATCCGACAAAGATAGACGATGTTTCCGTGTTGCATGATCGATCATATTTGAAAGATGAATAGTTAGGTTATGTTAAAGCAGGTTATGTTGTTTTCGAATAATACTTTGGTCTTTGGTGTTCCTGTCTTAAGGTATTCTACTCATCACTGTTTTTTATAAACAAAAACTCCCCACTGAAATTATTATTAAGGTATCACTCAAAACCATGAAATGAAATGAAAATAAAAATAATCAGTGAAATAACCAAACTTCGCAAAATCATAATCTAAATTTGTTGTCATTATGTTCCTGACTCGTGATTTTATTATCGACGTACGTCCATTGATTTCTTCAGTACAATTAAAGCATCCCACAAACCGGCGCGAAATAATCGCGGCCAAGTATTCGCAACGAAATTCAGAGCGACATTCGCAATCTGTTTCGCCTGTTTATTCATACCAAAGCGTCTTATTCGCTCCGCGAACGTGAAGGTTTCGACAGGTTGCGTACATTTTATTTTTGCCTTTTGCAATGAGCTCGTCTTCAGAAGAAGAGGAGGCACTTCTATTTCTTGCTTTAGAAGAGGAACAAAATGCACGGTAAGTTATGTTTATTTAACGCCATTTGATAGTTGGTATGTATTAAGTTTAACGAAGTACATAAAACAAATATTTTCAATTTTGTTTAGGAAACGAAGGAAGTGGGTACATGATATTAACTTGGAACGAAATAAATTTGGGGAATACCATACCTTGATGCCACAACTTCGGCTGGATGAACAGCGCTTTTACGTATATTTTAGAATAACTCCAGAGTGTTTCGATGAAATACGAAAATCTGACACAAATTATCGTGAAGCTATTTCGCCAGAAACGACTTGCTATTACACTCAGGTAAAAAAATTATATGTATTAAAATTAGTAGGTTTATCGAATACGAAAACTTCAGGGATCGTGAAATAAATATTTTATTGTAATAATTGGACTACATGATGCCACTAGGATTAAATGTTGCTAAATAATTCGAGGCAGAATATGCCTCCTCTGTTGGGTATATTATTGGAGTAAACCCAGTGCCGCTTGGGAAGGACGACATAGTACTATCATACATACTTGCAGAATTCTGGGTAGACGCTGAAGACATTTCTTCAATATGTTCAAATTCTTCGTGCGCTATTAATTCGGCTATTTTTAGTTTTATTCGGGCTTGACGCTTTAAGGGAAGTGTTTTCACAGTCTGTGCATGTGCCAAGAAAAGTGAATCAATGGCCTCGTTCTCTTTTTTAGGTTTTTTACCTTCAAAATAATTAATGAGCTGTTGTACAGACGAAGATGGTGGTTCATAGCGTTTTCTGCTCGTTTTATATTTTGGTGTAGTTGCAGTCTGCGGAAAGGTGTGCCCTGGAGTAGTCACTGCTGTAGTGTTCAATGAAGAAGGTGGTGCTGTCTGTGTTGCCGAGGCGTTCTGTGCATCTTCTGCATCTACATCAGCATTTTCATCTTCTCCATGGCCGCGGTCTTCCAAATTTTCGGTTTCTACATTTCCAGCCCTTTCCTGATATACATTTGAGTTAAAGTCGGCAGTCTCATAATGTATGACGTCAATATCTTTCACATTAGACGACGTTTTGGCAAATGCCAAAAAAGGACGGAAAAATTCCATGTAGTCAGCCCACTGCCATTTTTTTATGTTGCCCACTGCTTGGCCGGTCTTTGGTTTGGTAGATTTTATATATTTTGCAAATGTGTCTCTGATATTCTTCCACCTTTTTTTTACTTCATCACCTAAAAATTTTTTATAGATTCCTTGCCACTGGTGACACCTTCTATACCATTGTGCATAGCTTTCGAGTTGGCTTTACAACAGTGAGTGCAATCGTAACCGAAGTCTGTGAAGCGATATGCAGACATATGGAGCATATATATTTACCAGAACCAACAGAGGATATATGGAAAAAATGTGCTGAAGAATTTGAAAATAGATGGGGATTTCCCAATTGCATTGGCAGCGTGGACGGTAAACATGTAACAATCAAGAGACCTAACAACAGTGGCTCCAATTACTGGTGCTATTTACATAAATATTCAATAGTACTTATGGCCATTGTTGGCCCGGACTATAAATTTATATGTGTTGATATTGGTGGTTTCGGAAAAAATAGTGATGGGGGTATTTTCGAAACCTCAAACATGGGAAAACGATTTGAACAAAATTTAATGAGTGTCCCTGCACCTAGATTTCTCCCTGGGCAAAATAAAATCTGCTCGTACGTCTTAATTGGTGATGAAGCATTTGCTTTAAAACCATACCTTATGAGACCATTTCCTTATAAGCAGACTTTAACAGACGTCAGAAAAGAGAAATACAATGTAAGACTTTGTCGAGCTAGAAGCGTCGTGGAAAATGCGTTTGGTATTTTGTCTCAAAAATGGCGAATATTTTACAGGCCATTAGAAACTAAAGTAGATACTACAATTCTAATTGTACGTACGGCATGTGTTTTACACAATTTTTGACGAAGTAAAAGTGGCGATGACAAATATTTTCAATTCTTAGATCCCCCAGAACCCGTGCTTGGAGCTTTTACTGATATAGCAAATGATCCTCGGCGGGCAGCAAGGCTAGCATTTTCTACTCGTGACAAATTCGTAAATTATTTTAATTCTGATAGGTATGCCTATGCCCAATATATAGAATGTTCGTTTTCACATTTGTGTAGACTGTAAATTATTCAACAAGTTAATAAAAATATTAGGTACATACCATTTGTATTTAATTCTTTTCCTATTTCCATCCAAATCTTGTCTTTCTTTCTCACATTCCTGTATTCATCGTTCGACAAATCATACAAACAAGGATACTTTTTCACTATTTCTAGCAATAATTCCGTTTTTGCCATTGCGAATTTTTGAAGAACGGCGTCAAAAACGCGGTCAAAGGCGAACTGAAATACGCCGCGATAAAAACGCTGGAACAATCGCATTCGCTTCGCACAAGTCTGAGCCTGTCCATAAACCGCCGCGTTTTAATCTGATCGCGAATTCATCGCCGCGAAATTTTTGCAGCCAAAGCGAATATTTCGCGCCGGTTTGTGGGATGCTTTATGGTATGCGTAATAGTCATCTTTCGTGATTTTGACTATATGGTAATAAGAAAGAAATGGTGACAGGACCTACTACAAATTGGCCCCCTCTAACTTTTTTGTATAACCGTTTAGAAAAAAATGTTTACTCAAAAGGTGTAGGGTCTAATCCGGGATCTAGTATGAAGTTTTACGATCAATAACATTTTTATATACAGGGTGACTCAGAATTGTGCTATTACATGAAGTTGTGTTTCTCTTAAACAGAACCCTGTATAAATCTAGTGAAAATGGAAGTCGTTTTTCTGTTTCCAAATACGTATTGTTTGTCATAGTTATTTTGATAACTTCAAAACGAAATAACACACAAGAAAACAAAATTCTATGTCATTTAATCATGTGTATCAGCGTTCAAGCCACTTTGCATCTAGCCGCCTATGCAATCTGGCATAGGGCCGGATACTTATGATTAAAAAACACATAAAACTCGAGTTATTGACTAAAGTATTGGAAGTGAGTATAATTAAACAAATCCGTTTGGAATCAGAAAAAAGCAACTACCATGTTTACTTCATTTGAAAAAAATACAACTTTATTCGATAGCCCTTTACTGAGACATACCGTATATGTAAAAAAATGCTGATTTGAGGAGCAAGAATCTTCGATTTGTGAAGTAAAGGTAGATCTATTTCAATTCGTTCTCTAAAGGCTGCTACACACAGTGCCGCCGGCTAAGCCTCCGTGCACCCGGCGGCATACAAAGCCGCCGGCCTTGACGCGCAAAGGAGCCGCGGGGGTGTGCCGGCGGGTTACGCGGCTTGCCGGCATCACTTCGTTCCTGGCATTCTAGAGGTAGTGTTGTGCGGTTTGTGTGTTGCACTTCACTAGCGTTCTATGTGACTGTCACAACCGGAATGATGCTTGGCGGCTTTGCGCGGCTTGTATTGCCGACGGCATAAACCCGGCAGCATTGCCGCCGGCTTGTGTGTAGTAGCTTTTAGATTTTCAACTTCTGGGGCCATTTTACTTAAGTTATGAGTAGCAGTCTGTACTTTACTAATCGAATTTAAATCAGAAATGCTGCAACTGCTACGTCGCTCATAGCAGGAATATCTGATATTCAGTATACAGAATATGGTCTGTTGCTGGGGTACTCCAGCATTGATGTCTAGACGTTCAGAGTAACCAACTTCTTGCTTAACTCAGAAGGTCATATTTGAGAAATATGACCTCATGACCTATACTTACTGTCTTGGAAGTACAAAGCTTATTTTATTAATAGATCCTCCATATCAAACTTTATCCAACCTACTCGACGCTTTTTTTTAGGTATAAGTTCAGATGAACCTGTTAAAGGCTATGATGACAAAAGTTCCACCTTAAGTGTCGAAATACGATCAGATAAAGAGTCTGCTGAAAACGAAACACTGATCAGAGAGATAACATCTGAAAATACTTCTTCTGTGATAATAACGCCACCTCCCAAACAGAGCACGATATCAAATGATTCAATTTTTGAAATAAATTGCAATACGTCAAGTGAAAATAGCACTAGGGTTCCAGAAACACAACAGTTTGCTGCAGCAGATTCTTCATTTGTTATAGAATATGCTGTGTCATATTTGAATGCAAAGGTCTCTTCAACTAATATAAACCTGGCTTCACTAGAAAGTCTTGCCAAAAATGAATCTCTCAGTTCTGGATCGAACCTCGTTGAGAGCAAGCTTAAAAACGATCTAGTGACACCTACTGGTAGTCGAAATACATCTGTGAAGATCAGAAAAGCGGCACCTAATAAGGTAAATCCAGATCTTTCTGGTTCCACACTTGTAAGGCCAGCTACCGCACTAGCTCTTAAGAGAGAACTAAAAGACTCGGCGAACCTACTGAGCTACAGAAATGGTGTCCTACGAAACACGTTAAGGCCTAAAGATAACCTTCCTCCAATCAAAAAGACTGTCGATATCCCCACACCAAATAGGGGTTACAAAAACGCCCATAGTTCTGACAGCGTCAGACCATACACTTCTAGTTCCAGTTATGGAGGATGCTTAAAGAAAGGAATCAGTTCAACGGCTCAAAGTGCTGAAGACAAGATCAGCCGTAGAAATGGTGAAGGTACCTTGAAAAGACCGAGTATGATACCTAAACCTAGAACACCGACTCCTAATGCACCAAAGGGTCCTCCTTCGAGCAAGATTGATTTACAAAGGAAGGATAAGCCTAGCGACTACAATTTGGTGCCCAAGATTGAACCTGGAAGGCGTACGGGCAATGCTAGTGAGACTGGTAAACGAAGAACTGTTGAGAATGAGACAGGTTAGCACAAAGATAACGTCGAATAGATTGCAAATATTACCTTTCTAAAAATAAAGATCACGTGCACTTGCCTGGTTCATTTTTTTATTCATGATCAAAAGGCATTATGGGTTTACAACTCTATAGGTGCATTACCAGGCTCCTACAATTGTAGGACGCTTTTATGGCCTTCTTGATTCTCATAGTACTTTCCCTCCTTCAGAAAGGCTGTGGTATTTCTAGATTTCTACTGTTTCGTGTCAGGGTCAGCGCTCTCATATTGTAAAGTTATGTTTTCTTTTTGAATTTCAGGAAATTTCAGGCTGAAAAAACAGATGATATAAATCAAAAGCATGAACAATTTGACGCAAATAAATATTTGTGACATAACCTCAAAATAGAGCGATGATACGGAACAGTAGAAAAATATGAAAATCAAGGAGACCATAAAGACGTCCTACAATTATTGTAGGAACGACCGACTTAACGGCCCTTAGATTGTTAAGCTGCTCAAAGACTAAGTAGAGTAACATGGTAACACATAACAATCGCATTCACGTGGTTGACCAGCCTCTACATAGAGTTACAATCGGACGTTTTGGATTTTGCTTCGTCCGCCAGTAGGGAGCAAGCATGTGATTCAAGTGTCCTTTAATTATTTTTATTTACTGTCTACAGAATGATACCTTCAACCGTATCTTATACTTAAGCGCTATAAAATTACGAGTGTTTTGCATATACTTGATTTTGAAACACGAAGGCGTGGAAAGAAATGTTGAGTCAATCTAGTTGACGCTATTTCTTTTATTAATCATAGCCAAACAGAACGAAGAGTTATCAAAGAGCTCCCAATCTGTATCGGGAACTCCTGACGCTATGACGATACACGAAAAGATGGTAGGATTGCAAGAGAGACTTAAAGCGACTACAACAATGATTAGGAAACGAATGGGAATGAATTCTATAGCTCTACCTGCACTTACAGACAATGGAAACATCATAAAAGATGATCCAACGCTCCGACCAAAACGATCTTCCGAGCCTGCACTCCCGAAAACTGCATCCGCAACTCTGAAGGATCTTTACAAGAACATCTTTGAAATGAAAGCAGCTACAATGCGACTATCAGACGCAACTACGATGGTCAGTCAGAAAGAACATATAGAGAAATTGTTGATGAATATCACTGAGATACAAAGGATTGCGGATAGGATGTTAGATTCTGAGGGTAGCGCTAGCCAACTGAATGAACCTGGAGCTAAAGATGCTACAATAAAGTCTAATAAGTCGAAGGAGAACAAGATCTGCATCAAGTTTACACAGTTGAAAGATAAACAACGAAGGAAAGAGGACGAAGCTTCGAATCAGTCTGATGATGGGTGTAAAAGTTCTCCGGGAACTACCACGGATTTGGAGGTCAGTGCTATCGAAAATATAAGTTAATATTATTAAACTATCAAGCTCTAATGTACAGGGTTTGTCCTAAAAGTAATAGGACTCATTTTCTTCCGCCATGACTGTACTTCGGAGCATGCGCGCACCGACTGGATTCGGTAGAGGGCGTTGCTAGCTAACGAATGAGCGGTCAGTTGTCTCCAAGCACTTGGAGAGTCAGGACAGGCATTTTCGCGCGACGTGTTTCTGTGAGTGGTGCAAACCGAAAATGCAGCGTTCGTTAGAGCAGAGGTACGCGATTAAATTCTGTGTGAAATTTGGTAAATCTGCGACAGAGACGTTTGATATGATCAAGCAGGCTTACCCAGGTGTTGCTTTAGCAAGAAGTGGTGTGTTTCGGTGGCACCAGGCCTTTTTGGAGAGCCGATAACCGAACACCGATAATGTGACTCGTGTGCGCAAAGTTTTGAACTCAGACCGTCGACTAAGTATTCGCTTAATTGCCCAGATGTTAAACGACCAGAAATTGCGGCGAGTGGAAGTGTGCCAAGAAAATTTGAACATGTGTGAAAGTGACCCCCAATTTTTGAATAACGTAATCACAGGTGACGAGTCGTGGATCTTTGAGTATGATCCCGAGACAAAGAGGCAATCTTCCGAGTGGCACACGACGGCGTCTCCTCGCCGAAAAAAGGTAAGAATGAGCAAATCCAAAGTGAAAACGATGCTCATTGTCTTTTTTGGCATCAAAGGCATCGTCCACCATGAATTTGTTCCTCCTGGACAAACCGTCAACGCCAAGTTTTACGTGGAAGTGCTCAGGAGACTCAAACGAAGAGTCAGTCGGGTCCGACAAGACATCGCAGCCGACTGGAAGTTGCACCACGACAACGCCCCGGCTCACACCGCCTTTCTTGTGAACAGCTACCTGACCAAGGCCGACATCCCAACGCTTCTGCAGCCGCCCTACAGCCCAGACGTGCCCCCCGGACTTTTTTTGTATCCTCGCCTGAAAAGGCCGACGAAAGGCAAGCATTTTGAGACGAGAGAGGGGATCCAAGTAGCATGCACCGCGGCTGTCAAGGCTATTCCGGAGAATGCCTTCCGTGACGCCTTCAATGCTTGGAAATCGCGCTGGCAGCGCTGCATCGACGCAGAAGGCGCCTATTTTGAAAGTTTTTAAATAATTGTAACGATTGGCTCAATAATTTTTTTTAAATCGACTCAGTCCTATTACTTTCCGGACAAACCCTGTATTATCGACATGATACAAGATACTCCGATGAGAAGCAAGCGCTCAATCTGTCAGCAGTAATATGCTACCAAGACCGTTAGACGTCTGTTAGGGCTCATTATAAGCCTCTTAGACTAATTGCAATCATTTTGCTCAACATTCAATTTCCTGAGTGTAATATTGACTTTACTGTTCCTAACTCGCAAGAAGGCCAATTCTCAAAACAAGGGAGTATAATAAAACTAATAGAGAATGGACGTGATTATCTTACTTTTTGAGGGAATGTATTCTCTAATGCTTTCTTCATACTTAGCAGGAGATAGAATACGGCGTCATTTATCAGTCCTAGGAGAAGCATAACAGTCTTCTCCGACAGGTAGGCTGCAAAGAATTCACCAAGTGCCTGTAAGATTACTTCGAGCCTTGGCGAAGACAGGATCAGCCAGCAGGCTCGTTGGTCCTGAGCCTGCTTTAGGTGTGCCCGCGCAAAGCGCTAGGAGGAAAAAGTGGATAGCAAAACAACACCCTCAGAAATGGAAAAGCATCTCCAGACATCTCCGTCAGGCCCAAGCCAAGGATGGATGTTTCTGCTTATCTTTGAATAGAGCCAACCTGTAGTTCTTGGTAACACGTTAAGGCGCCATCTGCACGTGATGGGGGTGTCTGAGGATCCCTTGTCAGAGCGTTGCGGGGTAGAGGAAGAGATCTCGGCGTACGTTCTGTGTCGTTGTGAGGCTCTTAGCTACTACAGGCAGTTAATACTGGGGTCCATCACTTTGGACCCCAGGAGGTTAAGGAGCTTGGACTCAATGCCATACTCTAAGTTCGCTAGAAAGGCGAAGCTTGAGGTCTAAAGAATGTAGAGGTGCACTAGGCCGCCTAAGTGGCCTATGCGCTGGCTCCCTATGGTGGCCGGTATGCCTTCAATTTCATGTTTCATTCATTCATCAGTCTCATTCTTGACAACGAAGCTGAGTTTGTGATGGAACATTTAATAATATGAAATGCCTACGAACATATTTTGCCGAGATTAAACCGAAAAGTAATATAGGGTGATTCAAATTGGCTTTCCACATTAAAAGTATTTAAAAAACAGAAGAAATTGAATATTATTTGTCCTTTCAGGGCAGTTCATTACAATTATGTTTGAAAGATGATATCAAGTAAATGACCCCCAAAGAAAATAATCTAAGGGAGTTAAATCAAAGGATCGCGGCGGCCAATTGATATCGCCGTTACGTGAAATAACGCGACCTGGAAACTTGCCTCGCAGTAATTGTACCGTTACTCCTTATGTGTGACCTAGGCTTCAATTCCTGTGGACTCTGTGTGGGTGTAACTTCAAATCTTTTGTTAAAATCCACTGGGTAGTGGAATAAGTAAGGTCCAGTTGCTGCGATCGATGACGAATCGAGGTTCCTGGATTTTCGGCCACACTTTCGACAACAATAGCAATATTGTGTTCCGACCGATCTCTACGAGCACGCCTAGGTGTTTTGGTGTTAGTTTGCTAGAATTTTTGCATCAAATTCCAAACTGTCCTCTCACAAGGCCGATTTTGTGCGCCAAAAAATTCACGTAAAGCACGAAATGTATTCTTCCTTGATCGGCCGTTTTCATTATAGGCTTGGAAAATTGTAACACGTTGTTCGGTCGCATATTTCTTCATGACTGTTTTTCTTATATTTTGACGTTAGAAATGGCATGTTGTCGTTGACAAATTGAGTGGCGTTTCAAAAAAAAATTATTTGCAATGTGGAAACTCAATTTATATCACCCATTACAAGTTGGAGTGGCTCACTTTCTTGGAGACTTGATCATCTTACATTTTCAAGGAAGTGGTTTCTCAGGCTATTGAAAGTAGCAGTAGAAAAAGTGAGGGACTCTCACTATTCCGTCTTAGCCCTATGCCAGCCTTCAAATACCCAAAAGACAAACGAAATTAAAAAAGTGGTTCGACTAGTGGCACTTAATTGCTGATAACGTTACTGGTTGTCTATTTCTTATCCCTGAAGACAAACTTAATTTTATGATGAAACATTTAACATGAAAACCTTAAGAGCATATACCTTTTTGCCGAAAATTGAACCGATCACTGACTCACGTCAAGAAGCATCCGAAACAAAACGGTAGTTCCATTCTATTGGTTGTACTATCCTCCCCCTTCTTCCTAACTCCCCCTCTCAAAACAAACGATCGCTGCTTCCAGGCAATTGGCCTGCTGGCTGCGTAAATGAGATTTGAATTGATCATGGCTTTCTAGACAAAACAGAGGCAAATGTCACACGACCAGAGCTTACTGTGGTCCATACCATCATTCCTTCAGTGTCCGCGTTTCTACGTTACCTTATACAACAATAATTACTGACGTTCTGGCTACACGGTCAATAAATTGCAATCAAGTATGTGAACTTCATGAAGATTGGGATAAATAATTGGGTTTCCTATCGTATACTATATGAAGCCGATGGGACAGTGATACAGACTTTTAATTTTTGATTTTTTTTTCATCTTTAGGTGCCATGTCAAAATTGTTGGTCATATCTTTGTCGTTCTGGATATTAAAACAACTGTATCAGGGTTAAAGTTTCTTGATCTTAGGTGAAAACGGAAGCTTCTCTTAAAGAAACCGACTCTATGGACGGCATATTCATACCATCACAAGAACCTTTTATTCATAATATTGAAGAAGAAGATGAAAGCAATGGATTGGACATAACCATAACCTTTCCGGAACTGAATAATCTACTGTCTGACCAAAATGAGTCTCATTTGTCCGTCTGTTTATCTGATATATCTGCTGAAGCTTTAAGACAACTCAAAAGGTATGAAATCAACTTGTCCTACTTTTATCAGGGTATTTCCCTTGATATCCAAGATTTTGTCTGGTGCTGGATCAAGTTTTGTTAGGTGAACTTAAGAACATTTCATCATCGTTTTGCCTTGATATAATAAGACAATTTTTTTCAAGGTGTCCAAAGGACTTTACACTTCGCATGGATTTTATTCAAGGCAAAGTGCATTTTCAGTCGGGAAAGTCACCAGCAAACAACTTTTCAATCGGTCCTGACCTTAAGTTCATTGAGAATCCTGTGGATAATGTAGATGACAAAAAGTCCGATATAATCAGCATTAAGCCGTCAACTGAATGTTCGTATGGCTCACAAGTAAGTAAAATGTAGATATTGCGGCAAAAACGAAATCTATTCAGATTAGGCAATGAAGAACGAGATTATCTTACAGAAAACGGCTCGGGTATCACGTATCTTGGAAAGTGACATTATGCCGAACTACAGACAAGGATCATTTAGTCTCACATGGCATATGCAACCAATAATGCGTGTAGTTTAGTTGAGTGATTCCTTCATAGATGGACGTTCACAACGATCTTAGTGAGCAAACGTGGAATGACTGTTTGCGCCCTAAAAACTACCTCGTTTGCAAGATGACATCTTATAGGTTTTTTTGACGTCTTATAGGTTTGTACATGATACCAATGCCCATTTCGAGACCGGTTGTCAAAGGTGTTAAAGTGCATATTTTTGGATAAGTTGCCTACTATTGCCTAGCAAAACGACAAACGAAACAGGTTTTTGTCCCTGAAGAGGATATTCAAGTTGCCAATCGTACTAGATGTTCTCTTGTGTCGTAAGGTCGAAATGGCAAAATTTGAAGAAGAAGAAACGAGAAGAAAACGGAAGTCCATGTATTTTGAATTTGACTGGTTCTACAGCTCAAGATGTGCGCGCACAAATTCAATTAGTATTTCATCATTCATGTTTTTGACCAAAACACGGCCGTGAAAATCGAAAAATATCGTTCTAGAACAATGCGATGATCACGGTACGGCGTCGTCGACGGCACTGAGAACACGGCCACTTCCACGTGGCGGTCTAGTGTGAATCAGTTCATCCAAATTCCAGGAAGAATCTTTTTAGTTTCGTCGGGCGGATCACGTGACGGTCACAGCACTGTCTCACGTCACGGCTGAGTATGAATAGGCCTTAATTTGTGATTTTGAAAGGCGAAGAATTATCTTCATTAAACAGCAGCAATGGCGGAATACGTTATATTCTAAGTAGCGGAACACGTTGCCCTCTTAAACAAACTTCCATCCTATGGCCTCCCAGAGAAGCTTTGCAGACGGATGACTGACTTTACGTCTGGCCGCAAGATATCCGTTGTAATTGACGGGTTCTCCTCTTCATCCCACACGTCTTGAACTCCACTTGGTTTACAGGGTACTCCGTACTTAGACCTAGTCAACCTGTGCATGATAGGAACATTGGCTTGTTTTCTTTTTTTAACATCTTTATTCACAGGTTACAGTAATGTCATCTTTTTATCCGTAGTTGATCTCTGTGGAGAACAGGGACGAGCATGTAACTAGCTACAAATCTCTGAAGTCGACCGACTCAGAACTGTTTAATGTAGCGGACTTACCGTTCTTGTACAGAGACGTGACTCTAGGGACTGTCACCAGATCTTGCATGACGTTGAGGAACGACCCGATGATGTCCATGTCTATAGTCGCCAGGACGTTCTTCAAGAGCATGCCGCAGATACCGAGTCTCACCTATATCCAAGAAGCAAACCAATTGGAGAACGGGTCTAGGTTAGCAGGTTTGTGAACATACATATTTTCATACTGATACGTTGGTGGATCAAATTTAAACGACCCTCTTCCAAAAGTCAGTGGTCAATTAAAATGAACTCTTATCCAAGATTTTCTGTGTAGTCTGTAGGCAGCGCCACCTTCAACTAACTTAGTTGAAGGTGGCGCTGCTGTAGGTATAGTTCCTCTTGTCAGTGAACATAGTGATATCATAATGTCGGCATTTTTAGGGCAGTACTGACGTACGCCAACCAACAACAATGACGTTATCGTGACGATCTAATGTAACACCCAATTGACGTCATTATATATGACGTTGCGGTACCTATGCTGTATAAAGGATCAAATATAGAGTCGATATGACGTCTGTAAGACGTGGTTATGACGTCGATCTGAGATTTTTATGACGTCTATGTGACGTCGACATGACGTACAGTCGCTCGCAAAAATAATTGCGCGGTGTGTCTAAATGCTCCTGAAAAATTGAGGATGGGACAACGACGCTCCAAAAGCAGTGAGCTCAGAAAAGGTAGAAAGACGCCAATAAACTTCATATTCTACTAACATACCATTCTTGAACCCTCTCGTTCCGAGACGTCATTATCACCTCCGCAATTTTTCAGGAGTATGTGTACATAGTGTATCGAAGTGGTTAATAAAGAACTAAAAAACACCGTTTGATCTCAAACACGTTCCAGTCCTCTGATGGTTCAGAATTTGTCTGTAGCAATTTATTAAAATCACTTTGACTTTTCACATGAGACAAAAAAAACACTCTTATTTCCCGGATGTCACCCAAGCCTCATTGAATATGTGGCAATACTATCGTTCCTATTAAACTGTACCACAATGTACCTTAAACCTCAAACGAATAGATTTTTAAAACAAAATGGCTGAACAATTGTCAAACGGCGAACACGCATGGAGGTTGGACCTCGGTCGAGCTCACCGCCAACCACAATCGTGATCCTTCGCTGAAGATCGGTTAAATGCTATACCGGCACGGGTATCACGTATCTTGAAAAGTGATATTATGCCGACTTTTTTGACATTATGCTGGGTTTTTCCTACAAGATGTTAACTTAGCACTTAGTTGTACGTGTTGCCTAAACGTCACGAGGCTTGTTATCAATCTTTGGCTCTGATGTGATGTAAAATCTGCTTCTGAGATGGCACTACTGGAGGTCTAAGCTGTAAGTCGTATGTGTTGATGACAATTACATTCGGTTCTTGTCTCAAATACCCTTAATTGAAATTCAAAGCTAGAAATTAGTTGCGCATCCACTTTTTCTTATCCATTCTGGAAATTACATACAATTTTGCTGAATTTCAAAAATAAGAGAGATAAATAATTATATTCACTGTACACTGTCGAATTACAATCCATATACATGCTAACAGTAATTACATACAATGCGGTCGCGGTGATGAGTTCCCGTAATTGTCCTCAGTTTTTCGTAATTTATAACTTTGAACATAACCTCTCTTCAGAAAGCACATCATATAAATAACCCGTCATATTCAGTAATGATTTTCTCACACAGCAAATATCACAGATTTTATACACATGCAGACCAATTCACATAATCATCCAAATGCGATTTTGCTATTTAACCAACTTTCTTCTCACAGATACAAACTACGGACACGGATCCCTAAGCCTCACAAAACTATGCAACCAATAATGCGTGTAGTTTAATTGAGTGATTCCTCCATAGATGGACGTTCACAACGATCCTAGTGAGCAAACGTGGAATGACTGTTTGCGCCCTAAAAACTACCTAGTCTGCAAGTTGACATCTTATAGGTTTTTTTGACGTATTTTAGGTTTTTTACATGATACCCGTGCCGAATTTATTGTGGAGTCTATGAAACATAGTAGTTATTTCACGTCTCTGCCACATCTCGCCCTACGATCGATTTGACGGCCACCACCACCCACTTCCCGTTTTCATTGTTACGTGCTGAATCTATCATTGTCCACTGTATTGTTCTTTTTGCTGACCGATCAATCAATTGACCCGGATATTATTTTGAAGAAATATAATTTAGGATAGACTGAAAACGAGCATCTGAATAAACTGACTTCTTCGAAGGCTTCCAGGTTCAAGAAAAGAGGAGGAAAAATCGAGTGTATCAAAAAAGAGGTGTCGCACTAAGCGTCAGCAGCTTGCAATGATCGCTGATGAAGTTGAATGATGTTTTGGTGGAGTCTCACGCATCAGGTCCTCAAATCTGTGCGACAAGTGTACTATCACCCATCTAGAATGTTCGTTTGTATTTGAATACAGTCTTGTTTTTAATATCTGCTTCTTGATTTTCTATTAGGCTGCAAGAATAAGAAAATAAAAAAGTCGCCATTCAAACGACGTTGATATCTCGGCAACCTAACTGAAACAATCAGCAGTATGGTTTTACCTCAAATTAGATATATGCTATTATGCCGGATGACAGATAGTGGGACAGTCGATAAGTCAGAAGTGACAGATGACAGTGACAGTTCGCAAAAGATAAACGGTGGGTTGGTTACCCCTTTTTTCTTGATAATTTTTACATTTTTTCCGATTTTCAATTAAAATGTGATATATTTGGACCAACGGGATAGACAATAAAGACTATAGCTGTTGAACTTTCGGTCGTCGTGTCGGAACTCAGTGGCATCATGCATACAAAACTGGAATTGAGGTCAGAATCGAGTCGCCTTAGACTTTTTGTTGGTTATGTTCCAGTAAAGACAGTTTTTTTAACAGTGGAAAATCGCGGGATGTCTTGATAATCCGCGTTATAAGTGCAGAAACTTCTTAAAGTACCCCAACGGAGTATCCCGAATGGATGCAAGAGATTGCTGCGAGCAAGACCCCCCTTTTTTTCACACGGTAAGTCTTTCCTTTTGTCACCTATAGATTAGGTACTCCTTTGGGTAGATTGTAATAACTATTTATTTATAAAAGTTGTCAATATTTTGGATGCATCCTATTATCGTTGATTGTGGCTACCTACACCCTACTAAGTATAGAAGCTTAATCCATATCAGTATGATATTCTGTGGTCTATATCCGTCTTGCAGAGTTCATAGTTGTATATGTTTTGATTTGATGATATGTTGAGGTAGATTTGCCTTTGGTCTACTACCATTTATGATATGATTCATTTATTGCGCTGAATCATTAATATATTTTTCATAGGCCATAGAGTCAATCTCTACTCTAAATACAATCCTTGCCTCGAGAGTTGCTCATATCTATATTCTATGACATTGTATGATTAAATTGCATTACTGAACTACATTTACTTCATTCATAGTAAAACTGATGCTTTAAAAATAGTGTTGTGCAATATTTGAACTGAATAAGTACATATATTCATGATGAAAGATTATATCAGTCATCATCCTTGGATGAGATTTTGTTTACACATATTTTAAAAAGAGATTAATATATGAGTTTATAAGACATTGAAAATGTGATTTAGTGACAGCAGCCTTGACTGCGACATCTTCCTGTTTGTAAGGTAAAAATAGCCAAATATCTGTTATCCTACGCAAACATGTTCATTGTTTATTTTTATATATGTAAATTGAGTTTTGTGCATTTTTGGATATATTATGGAATTGATTATCTTTACGTAAATAGTTGAACTTGATTACACTGTAACTTTGAGGCTGAAATTATATTTAAGCGAGATATAAGTTTATTTTTTAAATATAATGCCCCTACTGTCAATGCTCCTTTAAGAATGGCCATATTTATCAAACAGCAGTCATTATTTTAGATCTTATGTAGTCATTTTGCAGTGGTTTGATCTCAACATGGAAAATAAAAGGTAATACTCTATAGAATTCTGCATATAACTAAGCTTTTGCATAATGCTTGTTTAGTAAAGTTAGTCATAATGTCTCTGTCTGCATATATAATGTAATTATAAATAGCAGTTTCTAGAGATTTGATTGATGTGTTCGCAGAAACTTTGTTTTTCAACAATTACTCTAAGGTTTGTAACACAACCTCTTAACTTTAATTTCTTTTATCAATAAAAAGATGCATATTATTCTTTTTATTTTTCGTTTTTGGGCTGAAATCGATAATTCTTAAGTTTCAGACCATTGTGCTTTGGGGATTAAAAGATATATACAACTGCATATCAGTGTATGTCATAACATTACATTTTCTACTTTAATTATGTCTGACATATATACGGTGTGGTTCAAATATGTATGTTAGAAAGGGTGTACCGGTGGCGTCCGTGGCCTCATCACCCAGGTTGCTATGCAACGAGGTGCTTAATAATAATAATAATAATAATAATCTATATTCCAAATTGTACAATGACATTACAAAAATTGTATAGCCACTACAAAATGAAATGTTGCGTCACTGTCACCATAACTATAGTAGTTTACCTGAGACCTTTTTTTTTGTGTTACATGGTTATTTATCTTAAAACAGCTACTATCTTATACTATTACAACTCCCATAGAACTCATCTATTGTATAAGGCTCTGACTGTACTAGAAATTGCTTAATAGCCTTTTTAAGTTTATTTAAACTGTTTATGTTTTTAATTTCATTTGGTAGATTGTTAAACAATTTTAAACTCATGTAAATAGGGCTTTTTTCTGTGGAGGATAATCTGTGTATTGGATAAGTAACATTGACTGTTCGAGTATCATAAACAGTTTGCACCTCAAGCTCAAATAAATTTTTATTTTTGAAAAAAAATATAAGACACTCATACACATAGATGGCATACACAGTCATGATTTTTTCAGTTTTAAACACCCCCCTAGCAAATGGAATTGAGCCTCTTCAGCAGTTCGAATACATGTGTTGTCCAGTCTAAAAATTCATCAATATCTATAGATGCCTAAGAATTTTACACTTTCACTCAACTGCGGTTGATGATCATCTATATCGATATATTGTGGCTTAACGACTTTACTCTGCTTAGTTCTAAATAATGTTGCATCAGTTTTGGATTTATTCAGCACTAGTTTGTTCTCAGAAAACCATGTATTCACACTTCTGAATAAGAGATTCCCATTAGCAGTTAGGTCCTCTACACTTGTCCCACCCAACACTAAATTTGTCATCAGCATAGCAGATAATTTTATCCTTGCTATGATCACCACTAGTGACAAAACAGAGATCGTTTAAAAATACTACAAACAAAATGGGCCCAAGTATACTACCCTGTGCTATGCCGGTTGAAGTCAACTCAATGTTTGACTTGTAAGGTTGACCTCCTTTAACAATTTCAACCCTCTGTTGTCCATTATAGAGGTATGACTTGAACAATTCTAGCGCAGTTCCTCTTACACCATATCTTTGTAGCTTTAATAACAATATGTCTCTGTAGATGCAATCATAAGCTTTGGACAAGTCCAGGTAGAAACCAACCGCTAAGTTTCCCTCCTCTAATTGCTTGCTACTGTTTGAACAAATTGAAAGATTGCTTTATCTGTTGATCGCCCATGTAGGTAACCATGCTGATGTGTATTAAATAAATTACAGTCATTCATGAATTCTAATAATCTCTTACTGATGCCTAACTCAAATAATTTTGAAAAACCTGTTAAAATATTGATTTGCCTATAATTTACCAATTGCTCTGGATTACCTTTTTTCAAAAATTGGTTTTGTATCTCATTCTTACACATGTATTGCTCACTTCTCTCTAGTACACATTTCAACGTAAGTGGTATTTCGTTTTCAGTGTATGGTGAAGATGCAATGGGCCTAGAACAGACCCCTGCGGTTCTCCGGATGTAATGTAATGTAGTCCAGGGGAATCATTTCCTACAACCACTCTCTGAGTAATATGGCATCGAAAGAAATTTACACTTGATTCACATAGTCCTAAATATTTTTACTTTGACATTAAAAGGTCATGATTGGTTTTATCAAAAGCTTTAGAAAAGGAGTAACAGGAGCGCATCACCCCTGTCTGCAACGGTGATGGTATCATTAGCTACAGACAACAGGGTGGTTACCCTTCTCTGGATTCAGATTGTTGATCAGGAATTAAATCATGAATGAAAAATAATATTTTCTGTTTTAGTGAGATATAAGACTTTTATGAATGTATTTGGCCAAATAAATACTGAAAACTCAAATACCGTATATCACCGATTTCCTTTTTATCCGAAGTTTCAAATATTCCACCTGCTTTCGTTCTTGTCATGTAAATGAGGAGATAAAAGTCGTTTCATTTTCTCCCTGTTTATTCGTCACGCACAACTTTTAGCATGAAATTCCTGCAGGCACCAGGCACGCATATCATTTGAATAGAATAGGGATGTTCATTTCAATTTTTCACAATGTAGACATCATTGCTATCACTTTATCTATATTTTACATCTTATAAAAATAATGTAATGTAAAAAAGGTTTTTGGTCATCTATTTATGCCGTTTGGCAACCCAAACACCTAGAATGTCAAGGCAGAATGGCGCATCAACGATTTAACTGACAGTTTTGCCTAAACCACTGAAACCGCCAGCACGTTTTGGGGTTGTTCGAAGTTGATGTTACTCATTTTTAGAACACAATAGGAAAAACTGTTTTACGGACAACCAAATGACTCGAGCGAGTTCAAATTTGTACCGAAGGTGGATCACATGTTTCCCTGCCCCCCTCCAAGCCCGTCGCCTCCGGTGTTGCCAGATCGAACGCTACGTTGACAGCCTCATCACCTAATGTACAGACCTCGTATACAGGGTGTCCCAACCGTGCCAGGACGGAGTATTGCTCCTGAACAAAAACTATCCAAAGAAGACTATTTATGGATTAGTACATATGGTATCTGGAGGCATATTTTTAAAAAATATTTACAATTATACTGGGTGTCCCAATTTTGACCCACATATCAAAGTTGATTTTTTTAATGTGCCCCATTTTTATTCACTTTGATATGCGGGTTAAAATTGGAACTCCCTGTATAATTGTGAATATTTCCCTCCAGATAGCATATTTAATAATCTATAGGTAGTTTTCTTCGATAACTATTTTTTTAGAATTCATACTTTGTACGGTTAGGACACCTTGTTCAGCAGGACCATAAACATTGGTCGTTCAGATGCTTTATTAAATAGACAACATGCACAGCTCGTGCAAGCCATAGATGTTAGGAAGAAGTTAGTTCTGTTGCTGACTATTATTGAAATCAATACATATTTGTTTACAAGCTTGATTATAAATTGTAAGTACAGGGTGCGTCATCTATTACTCTTTTTTCTTTTTGAAAAATCAACACGCTTGTTACGAGGTGAAATCGAATTTTTTTAATGATATATGAAGGTTGGTTTATGCCATTTATGTATGAAAAATAACATCAGTCATGTGACCACCGCGGCTTCGTTTACAGGCCAATATCCGAACATCAAAATTTTCAATGACTTTTCCCAGAA